CACACGCACACACACACACACACACACTCACACACGGTCTCACAATGGTTCTCTGATTCTTAATTGGCGCTGTAGTCCTGAGGAATGTCTCTAATTAGGAAATACTGCAGTTCAGATTCTTACCAGCCTGTCCCTACACAACACACACACACGTTATTATCAAATGATCACATATCATAGACTTGAATTGTGTGTGTGTGTGTGTGTGTGTGTGTGAAATGTGTGACTTGAAATGAAATCTGGAAACTGTTCCTCAATGGCAACTAGTTAACACACACACACACACACACACACACAGGTGAAGGTTCAGGTAGATCTGCAGTGTGTGAAGGGTCGGGAGTGTGTGTGTGTGTGTGTGTGTGTGTGTGTGAGTGTGTGTGAGTTATTGAGGGTGACAGCGGGTCTGTGTATTAGGGTTCATGCATCAGTCCTGCAGCCTGTTTTAGCCTCTCTAATCTGGATTTACCATCAGCAGTGTGTCAGCAGAACACACACACACACACACACACACACAAGCTGAACCAGCACAGCCTGGCACAGAGAGAAACACAGACGAGATGTTGTGGAGACATTCATGACGTATTTCCAGACTTCTGCAGAATCGGATCTGATCTATCAAAAAACATGAACTAAAGCAGACCGGTTTAAATACATCAGTATCTGTTCACTGCAGGTACTTAAAATTTGTGTGAATGTGATTCATCAGATCACGTGTCTGTATCTGCAGTATCTTTTCTCATCCATCACTTTTCTTCATTATGTTTGACGTCTCAATATATTTAAATCAGCTGGTGTTTGGGTGATTTTTAGTGAATGTATCAAGTCAGTTCTAATCACATTAACTAGCAAAACTAACCAAAAACCTAACTTCACTTCATCTTCAACATTATATGTACTGGTTTAGCATTTCAAACCCAACAAACTGTCTGTTAAATTTTATTTAAAAATTATTCTTCGAAGTTGTAAACAAATATTACTGAAGTACATTTTATAAGAAGATGCTATTTCAGTCTTTCTACTTCGAAATTTTATGTTGCATTCTTTGTGAAAATCAGTTCAATTCAAACAAGTAAATTCTACATCTGTTTTTAGTGAGATTGTAAAGTGTATTCATAATACGTGACACATGATTTGATATGTAATGAATGGCATTCAGACATTTGTAAGTGTGACTGAAGTAAGCAGATATTTTCAAAGCTGCTGGATGCTTTCTTTAGACCGTCATAACATATTTGATGTGCTGTTTCTCTGTGTTTCAGGGTTCCTTACACTGGATTCTAGATGTTTATTCTTCAGTGCTGCCCAAACACTTATAGTGTTTGAAACAAGAGTGTTTTCAGGGTATTTTTCCAATTATATGTCACAAACAACTCACCAGAACTGAAGATTCTCCTCTTCAAGGCAAGACAGGTGAATAGGGTAAAAAAATAAATAATACGCATAAACATACATCCCCAGTTGATTGACATTAAGAATTGCAAAAATAATTTGTATATTACAAGTTTTTTAATTAAAAAAAAAAAATTTGTTGTTTTTAAATGCTTATGCACTGATTTTCCAAAATATAAATCTGAACACTGGATAAAGACAGGTTCAAAATTCTTGTTGGATTTTGTTGACATATTAGAATGAAAGATTTTTATAGAAGGGATTTTGGATTTCTCTTTTTATCACTCCATAAATCACAAAATACTGTCAACAGAAAGAAAACAAATGCATTTTCACCATGTTTTTAGGAATGAAATGTTGTATAAATCAGTGTGAGTGATATATGAACAAACCCCTCAGTAAAAACCTTCAGAATATAGATAGGAATAAAACTCTAAGTTTTGGTGAATGTAAGTGCTGCTGAAGTGAAGAAAAAAAGCTCACAACCTTTAAAGACATGCATTTTCGCCATGTTTTTAGGAATAAAATGTTGTATAAATCAGTGTGAATGAAATATGAACAAACCCCTCAGTAAAAACCTTCAGAATATAGAGAGGAATAAAACTCTAAGTTTTGGTGTATGTAAGTGCTGCTGAAGTGGAGAAAAAACTTTTAAAGATATGTATTGTAAATGAAATCTACAGACGCAAATAGAAAAAGTGCAATAAAACTTGTGTGTATTTTGGATGCTTTCTTTCCACCAGTCTGAAACAATGCTTTATGAAAAGCCAAATAGCCCAAAATCTCAAAACTGACCACTGCAATGCATCCTATAGTGCCTTGACTAAATAATGTGTAAATATTTGGTGTAAAAAAAAAAAACTAAAGATCTGATCTAATGATTTCCTTTTTTTAAATACCTTTTTTAAGAGATGCAACAATTAAAAACATAAAAGTGCATGTAATAGTATGATTCATCTTATATTCAAATTAAAATGGTTTAATTTAATATTTGGTTGTAACATATTACAAGTTACATATCATTTGTTATCTGAAATTATAGTAATTATCCTCTGTCAAACATAAAACCAAACCAATCTTAGTTCAACCAATGTTTAAATGAAGTTAAAAATGGAACAATTTATATGTGTTTATATTCTGATCAGCAAATATATTTCATATGTGCATGTGGCTCTTTGTCAATGCAGTTGAATCAGAACACAACTGAACCTGCAGCTCAAATAGAGCCATGAGGGTTTATAATAGACGCATCACTGTCAGAGTAAATCTGAGACTTTATCTGTCCACTGTAACCCGCTTTACGCTTCCGTGAACTCTAAAAAAACCTGCGGCTTAAATGAACTGAGACTCACCGTCAGACATCCACTGGATCTAAACATGGAGCAGAACTTCTGCATCTCCACAGGGTTCTGCTCGATTCTCAACTGAACTGAAAATTACGTTTAAAGTACAATTCTATTATGCAGTTTGAGTTTAATTTGAATTGAGGCAGCAATTCGGCAACATTAATGTAACAAAATATAATTAAAATTGACTGAAGTTCAAAGAAATACATATAACTGTCTTTTTAAATAAAAACTAAATTGGAATGTGGATTTGACAAAACCTTGATTTAAAATTTAGATTTTTAATAGGACTAGATAGGCCTAGATAGATAAATAGATATGACTTAGAGCTTAAGTGTTAAGAGCAACACAATTTGAAGGCAATAGTTTTTAAATATAATTTGTTAATGAAAATAGTAAATAGTAGTCATTAAAACAAAATAACTTATTTCATGTCTTCTGATTTTTTTCTGGTATATCTGTGCGAGTTGTAATGGTTTATACGTTAAAACACTAATTAATTATAAGATGAACATGCAACATAATCAAAATAGACAGTATATGGTGACACTGTAAATAGTAAACAGTGTACAGTGTGTTTTATGATGTGTAAGTTCCAGTGGTTCAGAACTCTTGTCTGATTTTGTTGACATATTAGAGTTAAAGGTTTTTCCACTCCATAAATCAGAAAATACTGTCAACAGTCAGAAAAACGATACAAAAAACGATTTTTCCCATGTTTCTATGAATGAAAATGTTGTTTAAATCAGTGTGAATGATATATGAACAAACCCCTCAGTACAAACCTTCAGAATATAGAGAGGAATAAAACTCTAAGTTTTGGTGTTTGTAAGAGCTGCTGAAGTGGAGAAACAAACTCACCGCCTTTAAAAATATGCATTTTCACCATGTTTTTAGGAATAAAATGTATAAATCAGTGTGAATGATATATGAACAAACCCTTCAGTAAAAACCTTCAGAATATAGATAGTAATAAACCTCTAAGTTTTGGTGTATGTAAGTGCTGCTGAAGTGGAGAAACAAACTCTTAAAACATGTATTGCAATTGAAATCTAGACGCAAATAGAAAAAGTGCAATAAAACAAACACTTAAATGTGTTTGGGGGATTTTTTCTCTTTACACTAGTCTGAAACAACACTTCATGGAAAGCTAAACAGTCTAAAATCTACAAATTGACCAAAGCATGAAAAAAAGAGAAAAAAAGAAAGAAATTGCCAGTAAATTTTTACAAATTATTACAAATAAACAGCAAGTAACACATTAAATTAAACACGAAATGTTGAAGTTGAAAGACTGAAATATTATTTTCTTGGAAAACATACTCTAATAATTTTAGTATTATTTACAGTTTCAAAAAAAAAATTTTGTACAGTCTATTTTTAAAAAAGTGAAACAGTATGCATTATTCCATGCTGAACAAACAGTGTGTGATTGTGTGCTGATCCTGCACTGCCTCCTGCTGGTCGTGATGCAGCAGCTCCGTTCTGCTCTTTCTGATTTTCACAATCAGATTCAGCTGCACATCTTTAATATCTGATCAATCTGTTGCTGTTAGAAGATTTCCACAGATATCAGAGAGACGGACACAAAGTTACTGGCTGAGTCCAGAAGCTCCAGTGAAGCAGCTGAAGCTTGGTTCTCTCCTGCAGCAGGTCAAGAGAGTTTCAAGGAGTTCAAAGATCTTCATCATCATGAGCGTCAGGAGTTTCTGTGCTCTGCTGCATTATTGTACAGGAAGTACATGCTGCACAGACGACACACGCTGATGCACTGCAGCACTGAGCGTGTTCAACACACACACACACACACACGTTTGTTTCTGTGAATTGTGGGGACTTTCCATAGACTTTTATACTGACCAAATTATATTTTCTATCCCCTAACCCTAAACCTACCCCTTACAGAAAACCTGTTTGCATTCTTACACTTTCACATAAACATCATTTACTACTTTTAATTATTTTCTCCTTCAGAATGTCAAAAATTTCAGGTTTTACTATCCTTGTGGGGACATTTGGTCCCCACAATGTACCATAAACAAGAACACACACACACACACACACACCTACCTGTCTCTCTCTCTTTTTCTTTCTCTCTGTGTTGTTTGATTCTCACACACACAACAAATGTTCTAAACTAAGATACTTTCACACTTGGGTTTTATGTTCTCAATCTCTCTCTCTCTCTCCTGCAGCAGTGAACACACACACACACACACACACACACACACAAACACACACACATGATCTGAGCAGTGCTGTGTGTGTTTGTGTGATGATGGACGTTCTGGAGATCTCCACACGAAACCCTCAGGATGACTTTGAGATTCTGCTGCGGGTCGGTGGAGGAACGTATGGAGAAGTTTATAAGGTACCTCACTCTCTTTTCTCACCGTTTCTCTCTTTCTGTTTCTCAGTCTGATTCACAGCTTTTAACGACAGGGGTTTATTAGAGGTGTGTAGGTATTTAGAGCAAAAGTTATGCTTCTCAGTTCAACTACTGTGTTGAAATAGTTTTGTGCTGTTTCTGGTAATTCTCTCACTTTCTGTGTGACATGAACGACAAACGAGAAACATTCAATCTGTTAATCACAAATACTTAGTTTGTTTCCTGCCTGTCTCTTTCTCTCTCTCTGTCTGTCTTTCATTTTTAAGGCTGCATTCATCCTCTGCCTAAAAATGTGTGTATCTCCTTTCACACTGACTCAGAGATGTGTGTGTGTGTGTGTGTGTGTGTACCTGCTTAACCATATTGTGGGACAAATTTGTACCCAGAAGTGAACTAAACCTGGGAAAAAAACACCCCAAACCTCCTTTTAGGGATGTTAAACAGTACATAAAAAACAGCTGAAGTCCCCTTTTAGAGAGCTATATAAATGTATGTGATTGTACACTGTAAAAAATGATTTGGTTGCTTAGTATCCGTGTCTTATTTTCAAGTACAAATATATAAACGTTCCTAAATCATCATACATTTACTTGAGAAGCCAAATGACTTGATAAGTCAAATTTTCTGAAAAATGTCCCAAAATGAAGTGAGTTTTTGCTTAAATCAAGAACAAATATATACCAATGAGGTCAGAAAAATAAACTTCATTCAAAGGGAAAACAATAGTGTTTTTCTGACACCATTTTATAAAACAAGCCTTAAATATTGTCATTTTGCATCTCAAGTAAATGTCTTGATTTAAGAACATTTACATATTTAAACTAGAAGACCAGACAAAAAATACTGAGAAAGAACATCTATTTTGCAGAGCATTTACCTTATTTTATTACCTTATTAGGAACAAATTTATAAACTAAGCGCATGTTAAATGTATGTTACATTCATTTCATTATGCATTCATGCAACTAAGAAAAGTGCAGAAGTGTTCTGTGAGGGTTACACTATAGCATTTATAAATGGATAAACACAACTGAAGTATCCATTTAGAGAGGTGTGAAAATATTCTGGGGACAAATTTGTACCCAGAAATGAGTTAAACGTCCTTGTTTGTAAAAACAGTATAAAAATAAAGTAAGTGACGTGTTTTTTGTGAGGGTTAGTGTGTGGGTAAGCGTTAGGTTATAGTATTTATAACTATGTGTAAAACAATATCTGTGACATAGTTTGGAAAAGGTTTATGCTATGTCCCAATTTAGAGAGATGAGTGTGAGTGTGTGTGTGTGTGTGTGTGTGTGTGTGTGTGGGTCAAAGTGCCACATCCTATGTAATGTCTCAGGCCTGCGAGGCCACATTGAGATTGAACGGTTAGTATTAATCAGCATCAGATCTGCCGGACTCAGAAGTGTGCAGGGCTGATAACAGGAGTGTGAGGTTGCTGAGGAAGCGGATGTGATTCCTGTCATTAGAGCTGCGGTGTGTCGACCGTAATGACCCGAGGCTGATCCTAACCCTCCCTACTAAAAACGTAATGTATTTAAAATACATTTATTTCATACTAAGTACAGTTCAAATCTACTAACATATTTACTGACAGATAATTCGACTTACTGATATAAAAATTATAATTAAACTCTATTTGGAGTACTACTTGTGCACAATGCACATTTCTTAATATTAAGTCTAAAATGTGTTTTAATGTCACTTTTGATGAGGATTGTATGATCTTTGAATAATATCGGTCTTTAAATGCAGAATATTTAAAGTGTACCTGGACTATACCTGCAGTAGTTCCACTTTAGCACAATCAAATGTACTAAGTATATCTTTAATTGGACTTCAGCACTACTTCTGCACAATTAAAGTGCATTAAGTACAAAATGAGTTGTTCCAATTTAGCAGACTTTAAGTATACTAAAAGTACAATTGCAGTGTATTTCATTAAGTACATAAATATGAAAATGCATTTGTAGTATACTATATACTATATATTTCAAATACATTTAAGTATATTTATTTTTCACTAGGGCTAACCCAGCGTCCTGTAGAGAATGTAATTTACTGTAAAGCACGGTGCGTCTGTAGAGGAGTGTGTGGTTGTGAACGCGCCACATCGCTGCTTCCTCTTTCCTCTCAAAAGCACCTTTGTGTGTGTCGATGTTTCACCTGTAGAGCTGATAACGCACTCCAGCGTGAGCAAACATGGCCAGCACTATTTCAGAGGATAAGCGTTAATGTGTTTCGTGTTTCACCATCGCTGTGTTTCGCAGCCGAGCAGCTGCCGTATGCATGCGGCCTTGTCTTCTTCTCCAGAGGAACACAGAATCGCAAAATACAAGATTTCATGAAGTCACTTGTGTCATTATTTACTCACTCAATCCCAATGACTTTCTCCTGTCGAGCACAAAAGAAGATGTTTAGGAGAATGTTCACGCTGCTCTTTTACATACAGGCAAAGTGAATGTAGGCTAAACCCATACGCAAAAATATCTTATTTTTTTCTGGCATTGTAAACAGTGAGGTTAAATGAAATATATTTTTGAAATTTAAAATATATTTAGTTTCAAATTTTATGTATCAAAATATATTTTAAAATGTATTTCAGGGGCAAGAAAAATAAATTTCCAGTCTTACAGTATAGCCTACATTTATTCTACATGCAAATTTGGATGGAACAGCCTACAAGAGATAAAAATAAATAAATACAATTTTATAAACGTATTACATGTTCACAACAAATACAATTTTTCTTCAAATGAGAAAAGTGAATGTAGTTTCATGGATTGAAAATATATGGAGTATATGGATATATTTATATTTTCAAGATATGTTTTCAAAAATACACAAAAAACACATGAGAAGAAAATATATCTATATAAACATATTTTAGCACAAGTATTTTTGTATATTTTGAAATATATTTCATATATTTCAATATATTTTATTAATCTATTTGATTTGTATTTTTGCTGTATGGGAATGGATGCTGTTGACGTCTGAGAAGGATAAAAAACACTTTATTAAAGTTGCATAAGAGTCGCTCATATGCCTCGTGCATACTGACGTTATAGGATAGTTTGCACGCTTTTTTAAAAACCACTCACACACTTCAGGCATGTACAAACCAGCGATGTTTGACATTACTAAAGGTGAACCTGGTCAAACATTTCTGGAGGGGAAAACTTGACTTAAAAGAACAGCTCACTGACAAATAGTATGAATGCAAGTGACGACAGAATGATTTCTTAAAATACAGTGCACTAGTCATATGGACTACTGCTCTGATGCTTCTGTGGTGCTTGAAAATCAACAACAGCTTGTTCACCTCCACTGTGTGTAAAGCAGCATGTTCACATGCATTAGATTCAATTCAACCTTGTTTTGTCAGAATATAAACCTGATCCAATGATCTGACTGTTCATTCTTCATTCATTCTTACTGTCTGTTAAACAGTCATTTACTTCATATTTGTGTCCCTGCAGCACAAAAGCAGTGTTAAGTCGCTGGGGTATATTTGTAGCAATAGCCAACAATACATTGTATGGGTCAAAATTATAGATTTCTCTTTTATGCCAAAAATCATTAGGATATTAAGTAAAGATCATGTTCCATGAAGATATTTTGTAAATTTCCTACCGTAAATATATCAAAACTTAATTTTTGATTAGTAATATGCATTGCTAAGAACTTCATTTGAACAACTTTAAAGATGATTTTCTCAATATTTAGATTTTTTTGCACCCTCAGATTCCAGATTTTTAAATAGTTGTATCTCAGCCAAATATTGTCCTATCCTAACAAACCATACATCAATGGAAAGCTATTTATTCAGATTTCAGATTATGTATAAACCTCAATTAAAAAAAATTGACCCTTATGACTGGTTTTGTGGTCCAGGGTCACATATGTCAAACAATATGTCTAATTCCATTCAGAATGTCATAAACTAAAACCATTAAGTTCAAATATGTCAAATAATGTCTCAAGTTGGTCAAGAATTTGATTCTGTGAATGTGTTTTTAAAAAGTGTCACTCTTTAACATCAGGACTGATCAAATCTGTTGATCTGTTCCTGACCTAAAGAACCTGTTTGACACCAGCGGTGCTCACATGACTGCAGGTAACCGGTTGAGCTCGTTCCACAGCAGAAAACTCCACGCTTCTCTGCTATCTCTGAGTCTGAACAGACACACACACTCGTGACCGAGAAGCGCGGGAACCATTGTTTGTGTGAGGCCAGGAGGGGGCGGGGCTGTGGAAGAGTCCCGCCCCCGCAGACGGTTCTGACCCGCCCACACTGGCACACACACACACACACACACTATAGAAATACACACTCTGTTGGGACACACACAGACACTCTTAAATTGCATATAAACACACATTCTGAAGACTTTTAAATCTCATAATGCTTTTAATCCTGAGCTAACGAGATTTTCTGTCACCTAAACCTAACCTAGATGAAAAGCTCTTTCAAAGATGAGGCTCTTTCTTGCTATTCTGTGGCTTTTGGACATCATAAAATGTAGAAAGTCAAACAGTTTTTACAATAATTATTTGTGTAATCATGATGTGGAACATCTGAAAAATGATTTTGGTCAAGCTCAGGCAAATAAATGTAAGCATTTATGAAGCAAAATCTATGCAATGGAAGTCCACCCTCAAAATCAAGGAATAAAACAATAACAGTTTGATTTGAAAAATGTGCGTTTTGTACATTATCTTAGAAAACTCATGTTCCTTTGTCCATTTATCAAGTCAAGCTTATCTGGTAATAAACTAGTCATAATATAATTTAATATCTTTTGTTTTCAGATACAAAGATAAAGAAGATGTTCTATTTACCTTTTAAAGTACATTATTGATACGTCAATATATTATTGAAACTGAATTATTAATATTTGTATTTATTTATTTATTGAATTCTTTAATTCACACACTCTCTCACACACACACACACACACAAACTCTCTCACACACACACACACACAGTTGGCAGATTAAATGAACATTTATTAAGAACAGGATAGATAGATAGATAGATAGATAGATAGATAGATGTTGTGTAGATAGATAGATAGATAGATAGATGGTTGTTAGATAGATAGATAGATAGATAGATAGATGTTGTGTAGATAGATAGATAGATAGATAGATGATAGATAGATAGATACTGTAGATAGATAGATAGATAGATAGATGTTGTGTACATAGATAGATAGATAGATAGTGAGTTCTTGTGTTCTTGTGTTCTTGTGCCAGGTGTTTGTGATAGAGGAGAAATGCAGAAGTGAGAGTTGATGATAGTTCTCTGTCACTAGTGTTGAGAGGAAGTGTCTGCAGTCAGATGAACAGATGAACAGATGAACAGATGAACAGACTCCAGCATTTCTCCTGCTCTTCTCTGTCTGTGTCTGCTGTAGATGGATCTCACAATCAAACAGCACAAACACATGTTCAAACCACAGCCAGAAATGGTCACAGATGGTTTTTACAGAGAAACAAACCTCAGAGAACATGAGAGTTTATTCACACTGATGTTCTGACGCTGGGAATAAATTACGTTTGAAGCAGCTTCACTGAATGATGGATTCGTATGCTATGAGAACTGATATCTCATGTGTGTGTGTGTGTGTTTTCAGGCTCGCAGTAAACAGAATGGGGAATTCGCAGCCATTAAAATCATCAAAATGGAACCTGGTAAGAGCAGCATTTGACAGACTGACCTGTCTTTAGATCATTTTAATCATGATGTGCCGCTCACAGTCCGTCTGTCTTTCAGAGGACGATTTCTCTGTCATCCAGCAAGAGATCGTGATGGTGAAGAGCTGCAAACACAGAAACATCGTGGCCTATCACGGCAGTTACATCAGGTGAGACACAGGAGAAGACTCTGCTCTCATGATGCATTCAGATCTTTCACTTCCCTTTAAACTATTGTCTGAAAAATTGTAACACATTTGAATTTGTTCGTCCACTAGATGCAAAATATCTCATTTAGCCAATAAATTACTACTAATAATACAATTTTCCAGGTAGCAACACAATAAATATGATTTAATATACATGATGTATAAATTGTACATTCTTTGTTACAAATGCATAATTTCACATTTTTTGTTTTTGTCAGTATTTCAGTAGCTCTTTTTTTTTTTTTTTACTTTAATGACGCTCCACAACAAATTTTCTTTGACACTGAATTTTAGTATTTTTATGCTTAAATTATGAAATGATCCTTCACAGGTTGGACTCTGTTCTGAGCTGAGTTTTGATTGGATATAATATGTAAAACATTCCTGAATAAGTTTAAATCCTCATGAATGGTGACAATCAAGCAAATGTATAAAGATGAGACATGACAACACAACACAACAAGAAAAGACCAAATAGAGTCAGCAAAACAATAATGCTGTTACAGTAACTGTATTATATGCTGGGAAATCACAAACTCAGTGTTGCTCAACATGAAATTCTTAGTTCAGTCATCTGTGTTTGAGTAATTAGGAAAACATTCGGGGGAATCTGTTTATGTAGCGTCATGGAATTCACATTTCTTTTATTACTTTTTTACCTGTAATCATGAAAATATATAGCTGCTATTGTTACTAACTCAATCTTTATTAATACATTAATCTAGTGTTGTTCAGCATCAGCTCTCATTGTCTGTCACTGAAATCAGAATCAAACTCGGATGAGTCTCATATCTGGAAAAACAAGGTACTGCGGTGGAGGATCTCTGCAGGACATTTACCACGGTAAACAGGGCCTGTGGTCCCTCTCACACCAGTGTTTTTACTCGTTAACTTGGTTTCCTGTTTTGCACGACAGTGGCGTGTCATAAAAATATCTTCAGCCTCTCAAAGCCTTTGGGTCTCTAAAAACAGCCCTGAGCGCTGCGTGTGATGAGATGATATAATGGAACATTTTTTATTTAAATGTTGCTTGGAAAAATGTTTAATTCTGTCAGAATACAGAGCTTTCAGTAGAGAAAGATGCTTTTGCATCCAGATGGTGTAATTTTGAGATTGACTGATTGATTCATTTATTCATTCATTCACTCTAAAAAATGCTGGGTTATTTCAACCCAACTTTGGGTTAAATATGGACTAACCCAACTTTTGGGTTAAAAATTTTATGTAAAAATTTAAAAAACAAATTTTTTTTGAAACAACCCAGCATTTTTAGATTATAATCTAACTTTTCTAAACTCCCTTCATTCTAATTTTAAATTTTAATTCTTTTATTTATCATTTATTTTTTATTTATTATTAATTTATTTATTTTAATCTAACTTTTCTAAACTATCTTCATTCTATTTTTTAATTTAAAAAAATAGTGAATATTTAATATTTATTTAATATCTATCTATCTATCTATCTATCCATCCATCCATCCATCATCTATCTATCTAGCTATCTATCTATCTATCTATCCATCCATCCATCCATCTATTTTATTTTATTTTAATATTGTTATTTATTTTTACATTTTTTTATACTGTTTTCCCCAAAACTTCCTTCAATAAGTATTCCGAGGCCTTTCTATCTAGGCTGATATTTGTCTCTGGTACTTGTAATTAAAGGACATAAATAAATATATGATGTCAGCTTCCAGTGTTTCTCTGTAGTGTAGCCGCAAACATGGTCAGGTTGAGTGGTTTTTGAGTGTCCAGCTGTCTGATTGTGATTGTGATGTGTCTCTGTGTGTCAGTGACCGGTCCTCTGTCAGAGCAGCAGATCGCTTACGTCTGTCGAGAGATGCTGCAGGTGACAGACTCTTCATGTTCAAATACACACAATTATAACACAACACACTTCTTTTATGAGACACATGCTCTCTCTGTCTGTCAGGGTCTTGATTATCTTCACGGACAGAAGAAGATCCACAGAGACATCAAGGTAAAGTCACACACTTCACCAGACAGCCGTCTCCATCAGCGAGCCGTTCAGTCAGTTACTCTGAGTTTGTGTTTTCCAGGGTGCAAATATTCTTCTGAATGATCATGGAGAAGTCAAACTGGGTTCGTAGAACGACTGAAGACCATTAAACCTGTCTCGCTCCATCTGGCTGTGTGTCTAACACTCCTCTGTCTCTTTCTCTCTGTTTCCAGCCGACTTTGGCATCTCGGCACAAATCACAGCCACGTTTGCCCGTCGAATGTCGTTCATTGGGACGCCGTATTGGTGAGATGAACCTGATGATCGGTTCATTTTAGGCTTGTTTCAGAGTTCTGACTATAGCCACACTTCAGCTCACAAGAACGTTCTACTAACGTTTCCATCAAGTTATGAAAACGTTCTTTGAACATTCAAAATGTCAGGTTTTTTAAATATGTGAAAAATGTGTTTCCCTGGTTTGTAAACATTATGGGAATGTTACATTTGAATGTTTTGGAACGTTCTGAAACTAATAGCAACATTTAAAAAACATCCAACTAAAATGTTTCGGAAAAAATGTTCCATGAACGACGTATAAATAATATTTTTGTGCTAACATTTGGAGAACATTATTAAAGACCAGATAACTTTGAACAAATGTTCTATTAACGTTACTGGAAGAACGTTCTGAGAATGTTTCCTGTTAGCTGAGACTGTCTGCTCCACATTATAGTTTATTCAAACAGTAGGTCATGTCTCGAGCAACACCAAAGCCATGGGTTCGATTCCCATAGAAAGCTAAAACTGATCAAATGCAAGCTCTGAATGCAGTGTAAGTCGCCAAATGCATGCATGCAAATGCAGCTTGCTAACAGATTGAGTTCCTGATGCCCAGGTTCTGGTTCTGAGCGTGTGTTTGTCCTCAGGATGGCTCCAGAGGTGGCCGCGGTCGAGATCAAGGGTGGATATAATGAGCTGTGTGATATCTGGTCTGTGGGAATCACAGCGATTGAGCTCGCAGAACTACAGCCGCCTCTGTTCGATGTTCATCCTCTCAGGTACAGACCAATCCAATCACCATCAAACTGATTTAAAGGAATAGATCACTCAATAATGAAAATGTGCTCACTCTCAGGCCATCCAAGATCAGGATGTGAGCACATTTTCATTACTGGCTGAACTATTCTAAGCTGCTTTGAAACCGTCTGTGCTGTATAAAGCACTGTAGAAATCACTGTGACTCGTCTCAGATGAAGACCAACACTGTTTGTTCTCTGGTTTCTCAGAGTTTTGTTCCTGATGTCCAAGAGCGGCTATCAGCCTCCCAAACTCAAAGACAAATCCAAATGGTGAGAGACTGAGATGTTCTTTAGTAAAGCGTCAGAGTCTGAGCTCAAGCTGATCTCTGACTGCTCCTCGTATTTCAGGTCCACCACGTTCTACAACTTTGTGAAGTCCATGCTGGTCAGAAACCCGAAGAAGAGACCCAGCGCTAAAAAGATGCTGACGGTACGTTTGCCAGCCGTGTGTGTTGTGTTAGCACATATGTGAGCCTGGAGCACAAAAGCAGTGTTAAGTCGCTGGGGTATATTTGTAGCAATAGCCAACAATACATTGTATGGGTCAAAATTATCCATTTCTCTTTTATGCCAAAAATCATTAGGATATTAAATAAAGATCATGTTCCATGAAGATATTTTGTAAATTTCCTACCGTAAATATATCAAAACTTAATTTTTGATTAGTAATATGCATTGCTAAGAACTTCATTTGAACAACTTTAAAGATGATTTTCTCAATATTTAGATTTTTTTGCACCCTCAGATTCCAGATTTTCAAATAGTTGTATCTCGGCCAAATATTGTTCTATCCTAACAAACCATACATCAATGGAAAGATTATTTATTCAGCTTTCAGATGTTGTATAAATCTCAATTTAAAAAAATTGACCCTTATGACCGGTTTGTGGTCCTGGGTCACACATACAAATGAGGACAATAGAAGCAGTCAAAACCAACAAAAGAGCAATGATATGCAAGTGCTATAACAAGTCTCAGTTAGCTTAACGCAGCACATGTAGCTAACGCAGTACACGTAGCAAGTAGGGGTGTGAACTAGGGCTGCACGATAAGCTGAGATGCGAGCAGCTATTGTCGGATCATCAGGATGGAATGAGAGGTAGAGTTGAGTGTCATCAGCATAGCAGTGATATGAAAAGCCATGTTTCTGAATGACAGAACCTAGTGATGCCATGTAGACAGAGAAGAGAAGTGGTCCAAGTACTGAGCCCTGAGGCACCCCAGTAGTTAGATGTTGCGACTTGGACACCTTGCCTCTCCAAGATAAAAAAAAAAAAGTAAATGATGTTTATCTGAAAGTGTAACAATGCAAACAGGTTTTCTGTAAGAGGTAGGTTTAGGGTTAGGGTTGAGTTAGGGGATAGAAAATATCGTTTGGTCAGTATAAAAGTAATAGAAGTCAAAGGCAAGTCCCCACAATTCTCAGAAACAAACGTGTGTGTGTGTGTGTGTGTGTTTATCTGAACTCGTATCACGTCTTGTTGCAGCACTTGTTTGTGACGCAGCCGTCTTTGAGACAAGAGTTAACCCTTGAACTGCTAGACAAACTCAGACACCCTGAGAATCTCAAAGACTTACACACGGATGATGATGATTTGGAGGTACGTACACACAAACTATTCTAAACTATATGAGCTATTCAGTGACTTACTCATAAAGATAGTCCCTAGTTTATTTCTTGAATGAATCAGTGTTTTGAATGACTCAGTTGCTTGAATGATTTAGTGACTCACTCGTTAAGACAGTCGGTTGTTTACTTCTTGAATGAATCAGTGTTTTGAACGAGTCAGTTGATTGAATGGTTCAGTGACACACTCATAAAGACAGTCCATCTGTCTGTTTCTCGTCTCTGTCTCTCTCTCAGGTGATTGTCCCACAATCACTCAGAAGAATTCACTCAATCAACAGACACAACCGGGCCGAGAGAACGAACTCAGACATCAGCTGTAAGACTCTTGTGTGTGTTCATGACAGATACACACTCATTATTTCATTATTATAAAGCTGATGTCTGTGTTTCAGCGGAACAGATTTACACACAGAGACCCGTCGCTGGCAAACGAGAGTCTCCAGAAGGAACGGTTAGTGTTTGTGTTTTTAACTTCTGAGAGAAAACTGCTGCGAGTGAGCTGAGTCTGTCAAAACCTTTCTTTGAGGATGTTGTCTAAGAAAAAAATGACCTTTGACCAAAAGACATATGCATTTAAAATGTACAATTTTCTCTTTCAGGAAACAGAAAAGTTTTGATGACATCTCTTTATTCACAAATGCTTGTCCAGTCATGTTTTCTAGAACGTGTTCTTTTCTCTGACTGACTGGCAATTTAAAAACAAGGGATTATATGTCCCAACACAACTTCCTGTTTTAACAGGAACTGCATAACCACAGGGAAAATGCACTTTTCAAACCACTTCATGGGGTCCCTAAATAACAAATTTTCTTCTTTCTGTAGTCATTATCATTAGCTGTGCAGTTGTGTTCATAAGTTTACACACCCCTTGCAGAATGTTAATAATTTGATTTAAAAAAAATAAGAAGGTTTGCATTCATTTTTATCACAAAGCAGATGTTTTTAGATAACATGTGTTGTTATTGATGTGATTGGCGTAGTTACGGTCGTCAGGAGGACAGTGGACGAGTCCTCCCATCACTTGCAGAAGAAGGTAAGAGCCGACATCACATTTAATCACTCGTCTGTGACATATGCAGCCCATGTGCTGATGATTTCTCATAATAAACTCTTACAGGGATGAGAGTGTGGACACGGATGACGATTACGACGATGTGGAAATGTAAGCTCTTCTCTTCTTCTGAAATCATCAACACATTTACATTTATGCATTTGGCAGATTTACTGTATATTCAAGCTGTGCATTTAATGAGTTGATGCATGAATTGAATCTGTGTGATTCAAAAAACCATCTAAATCACAGCTTTCTCCGTTATTTTTATTATTATTTACATACTGTTATAGTATATATTACTATACTTTTATTTTTTGTATTTTTTGTTTTCTTTTTAATCTTAGCTTTAGTAATTTAGTAATTTTTATAATTATGTTTTAATTTCTGTTTTAGTTTTATAAATACAAACCTAGATCCTCATGATGAAAGTAATTAATAAAAAGGCTAAAATGTTGAAATACATAATAATATATAAAACAGAAATGTATAAATTTTTAATTTTTAATTTTAGTTAAATTTTTAGTCATTTTGTTATGTGCTTTTGACATTTTTATTAGGTTTATATATATATATATCCATTTAGCTTTCACTTCTATTTCCATTTTAGTTTTAGTAATTTTATTTAATTTAATTACTTAAATTAATTTTATTTTATTTTATTACTTTAAAACTTATTTCAGTTAGTTGCTACGGCAACATTTCAAAGTTTATTTTAAATTAAGGTCTTTTTATCTAATATTTATATTTTATTTCAGATTCGTTTAAGTTAATGTAATATTAAATCATATTTTTATTAGTTTTAGTTAACATCAACAACACTGGTTCGAATTGCATTGCTGGATGATTAGAATCTTTTTAGGCAGTCTATTTATGATCTTAGCCATAAACACAGAGATTAGTAGTAGATTAGTAAAGAAACAACTCTCATAAGCTGAAAAGAAAAGAATAAGAGGTCCATTCACTCAAAACACGTTCTTAAATTCCAGTTGCGCTGTTTTTTAATCGTTCATCATCATGCATCAGACAGGTGTCGTTGCATCATGTTTTTCACCCAATAGCTCAGCTATCTTTTCATATTTACATTCATTTATTTGACAGATGCTTTCATCCAAAGTGACTTGCTTTGCATTCAAGGTTTACATTTGATCAGTTCTTGCTTTACTTGGGAATCAACCCCATGACCTACTGTTTGAGCTGCAGGAAAGATATCAATAAAGACAGAAAGCCAATTTAACAGAAGACCAAACAACATTTAGGATAAAAGCATATCTGTGTCATATCTGCACATATTCTCTTGATTCTGCTGAACGTGTGGTTTGATGTCATTGACTGAATATGAGAGCGCTGTGACGGTGTGTATGCTAATGATATTTGTGGTTAATCGTGCCTCTTATTCTCTCCCACAGACCAGCGAGGTACAGTAATCTACAGTACAGATGAATGTCTTCATGAACTATCAAGATCTGAAGGAGCGTGTGTTTTTCTCTCTTCAGTAACTCACTGCAGTTCAGCGATGAAGTTCCTCCTCCTCTTCCTCCCAAAGTGAGTCGCTCCAAAATATTACTACAATATTATCTTATTCATGCTTGAGTCTTATTCATGCTTGTGGTTGGTTTGAGTTTTTGTGGGGAGCAAAAACAAACATAGTCATAAAAACTGAAATGTATAAATATATATATACCTAATACAAGCCCAGCTCAGGTGACAAAAAGTACCACAAAAGTAATGTAATGCTTTACTTTCCATAAAAAATAAAGCAATTAGTTACTTTTTTTATAGAGTAATGCAATATTGTAACACATTACTTTAAAAAGTAACGTTCCCCAACACTGTATGTACACTGCCATTCAAAGTTTGGGATCAGTAAGATTTTTTATGTTTTTTAAAGAAGTTTCTTATGCTCATCAAGGCTGTATTTATTTTATCAAAAATACAGAAAAAAATGTAATATTGTGAAATATTTTTACAATCTAAAATAGCTGTTTTCTATGTGAATATCTGTTAAACTGTAATTTATTTCTGTGATGCGCAGCTGTATTTTCAGCATCATTACTCCAGTCTTCAGTGTCACATGATCTTCAGAAATCATTCTAATATTCTGTGATACTTTTTTCTTTGATTCTTTAAAAAAGAAAGAAAACATTTACTGACCCCAAACTTTTGAATAGTTGTGTATATTGTAACAGAAAATGTATTTTATTTTAAATCTTAAGATCAATCAGTGCAAGTTTCTTTCAGTTGAAACAGCTTTCAACTAAATTTTGGTTTGACTGTACATACATAATGTTTTCTATATAAAACGTGTGTGTTTGTGTTCAGCCGAAGCAGCGCAGCAGTTCAGAGGAGAGTATGGCAGCAGAGGACGATCACAGTAAAGCTCTGGGCATCAGCGTCCCGTTACCTTTATTCAGAACATCCAGCGGGACACACACACGACCTCGTCCCGTCCCTCGACCCCGATCCGTGCGCAGCGTCAACTCAGGTTACCATCACACACACACACACACACTCACACACACACACACACACACTCACACACACACTCACTCACTCTCACACACACCCACACACACACACACTCACACACACACACACACACACACACACACTCTCACTCACAAACACACGTACGCACACACACACACACACACTCACTCACACTCATATACATGCACACACATGCACACTGTTCTCCTGCATAACAGTCAGTGTGTGTGTGTGTGTGTGTGTGTGTGTGTGTGTGTAGATCCGTCTGCGTTCTCCAGCTTCCACACTGATCCTCCAGCAGAGCTTCAGCCTCCTGAACTTCCGCCTAAGGACAGAAGACGCAGACAAGCTCCTCAGGTGCCTGCTGATGTCTGACCTTTAGTTCTGCTTCATCTCAGATCCAAGCACGTGATCTTCAGGAGATTACAGACAGAACTTCTTCATTTCTCGTGATCATCCACTAAAATGAAGAAGATTCTGTGTAAAATCTGTTATGGGTTATTTTAATCTTCTCATCTTCACACGTGTAAGAAGTGTGTGTTTGATGCTCTGAGCTCTCACAGGAAGTCAGATATCATGTGTGAGGTTAGTCACTTTGACTCAGTTTGACTTGCGTTTCGCTCTCGTTCAGGATCCGGTCGAGTGTGTCAGTCCAGTGGTGAAGAAACCGCCGGTACGTTCTGACCTCGCTGCTTTCTGATTACCACGCTTTCGGGAAATAAGTTGCTTGCAATTAGTGCATAGTGCAAAATTGAATCATTGACAGAAAAAGAAATCTGTGTATAAGTCACATTTTGTTGATACGTTTAGAAATAATGTAAAATACCAGTAAATAAAACATTTACAAACACTATAAAACAGTGTTTTTGAGATACTATTATAGTTTTCATTCATATTTTGAATGTTTTTATTTTTTATGCTTTAAGTTTTGTTAAAATTTTCATAATCGTTTTGTATTTTCGTCATTTTTATTTCAGTTTTAGTTTTTTATTTTAGTACGTTATGCCGTTAAACTGAATGAAAATGACAAATGTTGCTTTGCAAAGTAGCTGAAATAAAATAAGTTTAGGTTTTTAATATTTTATCTTATTTTTAGTTAAATTTAATTTGATTTCAAGTAATGAAAATGTTTTTATATACTGTAGTTTTAGTTTAAGTTAACTATAATAATCCCATAAACATGTGTTTTAGTTCCTCTCACTCCACAACAAATCCTTTCAATTTAACGGCATACAGAACAAGAATGAAAAATATAAAATGCAAATGAATTATAGTGCCATTCATTATAAACAACAAGCCTAAGCACAAGCTGTGTTAAAGTTGGATGTGAGTAGAATTATATTATATTATATTATATTATATGATCTCTCTCTGACAGATTGTCTTCAGGAAGGTCTTTCACGGCTGTCCTCTGAAGCTCAGCTGCTCGAGCTCATGGGAGCATCCCACCACTAAAGGTACAGTATGAGATCTTCTGCTGGACTGTTTTCTGAGTGCAAACAGTAACATAATGAGTAACATTCCTGCTGTTGGCTTTAGATCAGCACCTGATCTTCGGGGCGGATGAGGGGATCTTCACACTAAACCTCAACGGTTCTGAGACCACCATGGAGCTGGTGAGAGACCCTCACACATGCAGATCATTCCTCAGCACATTCACTCTCCATTAATCGGCTTCTGCTCTTTCCCAGCTGTTCCCGGGCAAGTGTGTGTGGCTCTACACCATCGGTGGTGTCTTAATGTCCGTCTCAGGTGAGGAGCACACTTGTGTGATGATGATGATGGGAAGTGTGTGATGAAGCTGAAGGACTGATGAGAGTTTTGTGAAACAGGGAAGTCGTCGCAGCTGCACTCGCACTCGCTGAAGGAGCTGTATGAACAGACGCGCAGAGAGCATCGCATCGTTGCCCTGCCGACACACAGACTGTTGCCACGGTAACCGTCTCCTTTTGTCACATTGTTTGCATTTGAGTTATGGAGCAGCGTAACACACACACACTTACTGCAGCAACAGCATCACCGAGGGGTGGTCGGACTCAAACACACCTCGGTGATGCTGTTGCTGCAGTAAGTGTGTGTGTGTTACGCTGCTCCATAACTCAAATGCAAACAATGTGACAAAAGGAGACGGTTACCGTGGCAAACACACACATACACAAACACACACACACACACATACACAAACACACACAAACAAACAAACACATAAACACACACACATGCACAAACACACACAAACAAATAAACACACACACACATGCACACAAACACATTAAAACACACACACACACGCATACACACATACACAAACAAACACGCACACGCATACACACACATACACAAACACACACACACACACACGCACACACACACACAAACACACACACACACACACACACACACACAAACAAACAAAAACATAAACACACACGCACACACACAAACACATGCAGAGCATCCATCACTCTTAACAGAACTTTGTTGTGACTTAGTGACCCAAATAAAGGCAAACCAAAGGAAAAACACAGAAACACACGTGCACACACACACACACTCAGTCTAATCTCGCTCCTCTCGTCGTCTCATAACAGGAAGTTTGCAATCAGCACGAAGATTCCAGACACAAAAGGATGCAGAACGTGTTCAGTGGGTGAGACCAGAAATCCTCATCACTTCTACTTTAACCAGACCAGACAAACTCTGACCGCTTCAGAAAGCCTCGTTTATTACAGTGTTTTCAGCTGCTTACACACATTCTCAAAACTTTGCCTCTTTTTTCAAAACTTTACACACAAATACAAGAATTGCACACATAAAATACAAAATGCCTCGCATCTCTTGCAAAATGAAGTGCTGCATTCAAAATATCACAAACACATCTCAAAAGCAAACATTTGTCTTACTTTGCAAACACCTTTGCATAATATATTTTTGGATATATCACACACACACAGAAGAAAACTGTAACCTGTAGTTTATGAGAATCAGAGTGATTCGCATGAAACACAGCCTGTTCAAATCAAACACTGTCTGTTTAATGACTCTTGGCTGTTGTGTGTGTGCAGCTCATAACGCTCAGAACGGCTGTGTGTTTCTGTGCTGTGCGCTGGAGTCCAGCGTGGTTCTGCTGCAGTGGTACGAGCCCATGCACAAGTTCATGCTGATCAAGGTGAGCCAACACAGTCGCTTCAAATATCCAGCGCCTCGCTGCTCTTCACCCCTGACCTTTACATCACACACTCGCCCACGATCCACACACACAAATATCAGCACGTCTCACTTCTGTTATAAATATTTTTCTCACTTCAGTCTCACAACGCATTGCAATAATCAGCGTGTGTCTTGTTTTCTGTCGTCTGTGAATTATAATCAACAATAGTGCATTAAAATGTTTGTGTGAACACCTTTTGTTTAATGTATATTACCATTTAATGTTTTTGAAAGAAGTCTCTTCTGCTGACCAGGGTTGCATTTATTTTATCTAAAATTCTGTAAAAACAGTGAAATATTATTACAATGTAAAACAGCTGTTTTCTGTGTGAATCTCTGTTAAACTGTAATTTATTTCTGTGATGCGCAGCTGTATTTTCAGCATCATTACTCCAGTCTTCAGTGTCACATGATCTTCAGAAATCATTCTAATATGCTGATTTGCTGCTCAAGAAACATTTCTGATTATTATCAATGTTGAAAACAGTTGTGCTGCACAATATTTTTGTGGAAACTGTGATGCATTTTATTTTTCAGGATTCACAGATGAACAGAAAGTTCAGAAGAACAGCATTTATTTGAAATAGAAATCTACTGTAACATTATAAATGTCTTTACTGTCACTTTTGATCAATTTAACGTATCCTTGATGAATGTCTTTCAGTTTTTCAAATCATGTACTCTGTTCTGTCTCACAGCAATTTGACTTCCCTCTGCCGACGCCGCTGCGTCTGTTTGAGATGATGGTGGTTCCTGATCAGGAATATCCTCAGGTTTATATCCGGGTGAGCAGAGGATCCGGGCCGTCACTATATATATATATATATAACATACTGGGTTACACTTTATTTTAAGGTGTCATTGTTACAGTGTAATTATACATTTAGGTATCGAGTCATTTTATTTAACTACATGTACTTACTATATGGTTAGGATTAGGGTTTGGCTTAATTACTTTTGGGTTTGGGTTATTTGCATGTAATTGTGCATAATTTATTGTTATTATAATAGTAAGTACATGTAATGTGCAACAAAGGTAAAGTGTTACCATATACTGTTTGTGTGTATATAATCTCTCATTCTTGACTCATTATTATACAGTATAAAATATGTATTTAAAGAAAGTTATATACTGTATATATGTATGTCTTGTGCTGTTTTGTTGCAGATTGAATGCACATATAAACACATTTCACACTTGTTTTTATAAAGTTGAAAGTATTGTCTGTGGTAATGAACGTGACACAGAGCTGATGTAAACAACCCAGAACATTCCATTAATGGCCACAGAAAGTTTCTTACATAACATCTGTCAATGGAACATTCCACATACACACACACACACACTCCAGAAGATGTCATGGTGCTGTGATGATGATGATGATGTTTTTCTGTCGGTCATCAGACTCTGTTCATACGGTCGCTCTGAATGGATCGGCTAAATGTCACGGACACCTGACGGACGTCAGCTTTAAGTTAGACATCGACGCCGTGGGTGAGTGTGTGTGAGTGTGTTTTTAATGAGCAAGAACTCCATCACAACACACAAACTCTTTTCTCAGTGTATCACGACGAGACGCTGATCGCCGTCTGGAAACACGGCTGGCAGAGGAGAGGTCAGGGGTCATCAGAGATCCTGCAGGAGATCACTGACCACAAGAAGACATTCCGGCTGCTGGGAACCGACAGGTACACACACACACATCACATATAAACACACACACATTTCTGTGATGCGCAGCTGTATTTTCAGCATCATTACTCCAGTCTTCAGTGTCACATGATCTTCAGAAATCATTCTAATATGCTGATTTGCTGCTCGAGAAACATTTCTGATTATTATCAATGTTGAACACAGTTGAGTACTTTTTTCAGGATCCTTTGATGAATAGAAAGATCTAAAAATAAGCATTTATCTGAAATAAAAAGCTTTTGTAACATTATACACTGTATCATTCAAAAGCTTGGAGTCTGTATAATTGTTTTTTAGGAAAGAAATTATAAAAATTAATATTTTTATTTAGCAACGATGCTTTAAATTGATCAAAAGTGATGACAAAGACATTTATAATGTTACAAAATATTTTTATTTGAGATAAATGCTGTTCTTCCGAACTTTCTATTCATCAAAGAAACCGGAAAAAATTCTACTCAGCTGTTTTCAACAACATAATAATAATAATAATAATAATAATAAAAATGTTTCTTGCGCAGCAAATCAGCATATTATACTGATTTCTGAAGATCATGTGACACTGAAGACTGGAGTAATGATGCTGAAAATACAGCTGCGCATCACAGGAATACATTACAGTTTAAAATATATTCAAATAGAAAACAGTTATTTTAAATAGTAAAAATATTTCAAAATTGTATAGTTTTTGCTGTACTTTGGATTAAATAAATTCAGGCTTGGTGAGCAGAAGAGAATTCTTCAAAAACAAACAAAAAAAATCTTACTGTTCAAAAACATTCGATTGGTAGTGTGTGTGTGGGTGTGTATATATATATATATATATATATAATTTTCGGGTCAGAGGCATTTTTATGAATCATTATGGTATGTTTGATTCCTGTCAACAGAATCGTTGTCATGGAGAAGCGAGCGTGTGATGACCAATCAGGACTCTGTAATCTGTATATCCTGGAGACAGTTGACTCCACCCCTGTTTCCCAAACACACACAGCCAACCTCTGTTATTAATTAAACTTGTCCTGATGTTAATAAAGACGTGTGTGTGTGTGATTTCTCAATGATCAGTCCACTGCAAAACCCTTACAAGACTTGTACAGTTTCTAACTAGTGTGCTGTACAGAAACAGAGAAATCCAGAGCAAACGAGAATGTGGATGGGCAGTCATTCTAGATTTGCAGGTATTTCAGAGACACAGCAGGTCCTGACAGCGCCATCATTACAGTGTGTGTGTGTGTGTGTGTGTGAGTG